GAAAATACAGAAGGGCCAGAGGAAGGAAAGGAGGCAAAGAAGGCAGGAAAATGGGAAGGAGATGGAAGAAATGACAAAAGTTATGGAACACAGAGCAAAAAGTGAAAGTACCCAGTGGCCCTAGTAGGAAACATGCCAACCTTACCTAAGTATGATCTCAGGGACACTATGACAAGTGGCAACATAAGAGAGCATGAAAAGACAAATTTAAATCATAGATTTATGGGACATCAAAGATAAGAAAATAAGAGTAGTACTTGCACAAGTAAAAAAGCAACAAAATAAAGTCTTAGAAACTAAAGGAACAGTTTAGAGATTATTGAACTCTAAATTGGTTTAGTTATGCTTCACTTCTCACAAACAGTGAGTCTGGTGGACCCAAAAGGTGAAAACATCAGTAGTACCAGAGAGGAGGGTTTGGGAGGTGTGTTACAAAGTATAAGGCTTATTTGCATACTTTTGTGAAACTGACTTCAGAATTTTCCTCTCAATTAGTGCTACTTAATTTTTTGAGTTTCACTGCACTAAAATTCTTATCTTAACTAGTTGGGTTAACTTACTTAAACTTAGAGTTCAAAACAAGGTAAGTACTTATTAATTATGGTCAAGATTTAACCTTAAAGAGGGAAAAGGTCTCCAACAGATTATAAAATATTACTTACTGTATCATAAATGAGTCTAATGGTAACCAAAACTCAGTAATGATTCTCAGGAAAATTATTTAATTAAGACATCAGTTTAAAGGTTTCCTGAAATTAAAGTTAGCTATGCAAAAGAAATATCCTTAAAAAACAAACAAACAAAGCCAGATGAGGTGGCTCACGCCCGCAATCTCAGCACTTTGGAGGCAAGAGGATTGCCTGAGTCCAGGAGTTGGAGACCAGCCTGAGCAACTTGGTGAGACCTTGTCTCTACAATAAATCAAAAAATTAATCAAGGGTGGTGGCATGCACCTGATGGTTCTAGCTACTTGGAAGGCTAAGGTGGAAGGATTACCTGAGCCCAGCGGGTCAAAGCTGCGGTAGCCATGAGGGTGCCACTGCACTCCAGTCTGGGTGACAGAATGAGACTCCTACTCCAAAAAAATCAATTAAGTAATTAATCAATTAATTTAAAAATACTGACTTTCTACCCTGAAGTCATTCAAGGGACACGTAATAGTGAACATATTTCTTCCTCATGCTATTCAGAAAACTTTCAGGCAAATTGTTACACACCCACCACCACCAGGCAGCCCAGTGATTTCAACAAGAATAAAAGGAATTATGCTTAAAGATAATTATTATGGCAAAGAGAATACTGGATCTAAAGCAAGTATAATTAAACTTGATGCCATGACCAATCATTTATCATATACACGAACAAGCAATCTTCATAAGCACACTATCAAAATAGGTAACTGGAGAGTTATTCATAACACTCAGCAAAATATTTTTATTATAGTGTAATAGAATGAAAGAATGTGCATACCTGTAGTCTGTTTCTCTAAGTTAATCACATTCTAATTTTAAAAGATAATGAAAAGATGAAAACTTTCAATACAGGGTGACCTGGAGATCAATACCACGTACTAGTAGTATTTAGATTCCACTGGAGGAGAGGGAATAGAGTCCTTTTACTAAAATAATATTGCTTTTAAAAAACAGTTTAGAATAGGATTTCTTAACCTCTACACCACTGACACACTGAGTCAAATAATTCTTTGTTGTGGAATGTTGTTCCATGCATGATAGGATGATTAGCAGCATCCCTGCCCTACCCACTAGATGCCAGTAGCACACCCGCCCCTCCCCACTCCCTTGTCCCATTGCAATAACCAAAAGTGTCTTCAAATATCCCCTGGGTGGAGAATGGGAGGAGCAAAAATCACCCCAGCTTGAGAACTATTGGCTTAGATCATGAATGGAAAAAAAAAAATTCAAAATGAATGGAGGGGGGACTTTGCTGTATTTTTCTTCTGGTTTGCAAGTTTCAGCATATTATACTTGAATTTGATCACAGACAACACTTAAGGGATTCTGCCTTTCAGAAAACAAAGTATCTAATATATATGACTTGTTAGCCAAAGCTCAAAAGAGTCCCAGATTCTCTGTACTGCCAACCACGTCTCCAACCACACATTCACACACACAGTACTGGCTAGCTGAACTGAAGAAAATGAAACATAATTACTGTATTTCCATCTCTTATTTCATTAAATATATTAAAGCTACTGCTCCAGCTCTCACAGAATCCAAAGGAAGTCTCAATTTACCTCAATACAACTCAAATACTACAATAGCTGCATCATTCTAGGAAGGATAAACCTAAGTACTAGGACAAGTATTAAACTCATCCTCACACTTTAACAAATTGTCGAAAAAATACAAATTAACCAAGATGCTTTAAAAAGAAAAAAAATGAGATTTGTATTTGAAACAGAATCTGAGGAATGAAAAAGTTAAAAATCAAAAAGAATCTGAAGGTACTTTAGGATGAGTGCAAAACTCAAAATGTTTCCCCTAGAATGAGAGACAGGAAGAAATTATACACTTGGCCATATCTTATAGGAATCGTCCACACCATCAGTCTCCAGAATACATATGATGAAATGGGAACTGAAAAACCAGAATCCACAAAACAGGAAACTGCAAACATTCACCCTAAATACCTGGGATAAAACTGTTCTTTACTACTGTTTCTCATTTGTGTTTTTTTAAAATCAAATACATAGAAACAAAAAGCTAACAACAATTGAATATTTTTTAAATTCCCATAAAAATAGCCATCCTTGTGCTTCCAGCATACCAGATCACAAATTACATAGAAAAATCAATTAGTTGGAGAGAACGCAATAATCCTTTTAAAAAGTGCATCTGATTCATAACAAAAGCCCTTTTTTTAAAAAAAAAAAAGGCATTTTAAGTACGAAAAAGCTTTATGTATAAATATGGTTTAAGGCCTTTAAGATTATTTCAATTATCTTCAACAGAATCACATATTTTAGTTCAACTACAAATGTTCATTTTAAAAAACCTATGCAACACAATATTAGTTTAACCTAAATATAATATCTATATATACACTATATAGCAACAAGATTATTTCAAAATTTTAGCTATTAACCTCCTGGCCCCAGTGAAAATAATCCTTGTCCAATGAAGGTAATCCCACAAGAAACTAATGCTCAGTTCTTTTTACCACCAAACCAAGCAGAGAAAGCTATAAGATCTATAGCGACAGCCTGCTTTTCCAGAAGTAATACCTTGAGACTGCTCAAGAATAACCTTCTTCACCAATTAGTGTGACTCAGGTGGGTTTGGGAGGAAATAATGTCCACAATTTCTTGGTCAGTGGCCATGATGCCCCTCCTCCTCAAGGGCAGGAGATCATAAAAAGGGATTTGAACAAGAAGAGTTCATCAGTCAGAATATATAGGGGGCAAAGGAAAAAGAGTACTACCGGAAAGATAAAAACTACATGGTTAAGTCATGTCACAAAAGCAAGAGGCTTAATGTTATCAAGGCCTTCATTCATTTCAGACACACCATTGTTTAGCTTCTTCCCCAAACCCTGCACAAAAAGGACTGTCAGCCTGCTTTAAGCATGTTCCTTCTTCCATTTAAACAGACATGATTCTTTTGGTTAATCTCTGGCAATGATCGCCATTTCACAACACATTCAGCCCACCCGGAACTGATCAATACCACTACAGACATAAGACTAGACTTTATCCATTTATTAACCACAGGGAAATGTACCATTCAGCAAAATTCTATACATTACAAAAGATTCTATTTAAAGGGGGGCGGGGAAGACGGACACAAGCGCGCGCGCGCGCGCGCACACACACACACACACACACACACACACACACACACACACACACCCCACAAAGGTACACAAAGAAGACTACCACCCTCTAATTTCTCTGTGGCAAACAAGATAAAGACATGGCCATGAAACCTGTCAATTCATTCCCCCCCCCCATAATTCTATGTCACAACCTCTAAACTAAATATTAAATTTTATGATAGATCCACTGTGACTTTTAAATCGTTTCATCTATCAAACTAACTGTCCTGTTAGGTACATCTCCACACCTTTGAGCTAGATGTTGTATTCATTTATAAAATTTCAAATACAAAAGACTAGATAGTTTTTCCAACCACTGGTTGCAACCACAGAACGTCCTCACAAAAATCAAAATTCCAAATATAAAATGGCCAGATTATTCTTCCAACCTTGGGCTAAAACCTATTTTGCGAGCACGCTATATTTAACAATGAGAACAAATTCACACGAGCTGTTCTAACAGAAAACAATGCTTCAATACAAAGCGTTTAAAATAAGTATTCTGTAGGTAAGCAAAATCTATGCCCAAAAAGAGCACACAAATGGAGGTTGAAAGCCAACACATTACCAACAAGCGGCATACCTCTTCTGCACTGGGTTATAGTTAATACTCCAACAACAACAACTACAACTATTTTTAACACGGCTGGACACTGAAGTTGAAAGAAACGTGAGGGGAGACCCAGATGAAATTGTTGATAGCATGCATTGTTTCTGACGGTCAAAATTAAGGAGCAACTGACTTAGATCTATGTCGTGATATTCACCGGTGAAGCACTAATTTAAAGACGACAAAAAAGCAACCCTTGTTTTGGAGGCGCCCACGCCAAATGACAACCTCCTTTGGGCTCTCAACCTTCGCATAAATTGTCACTTGTGGTATTTGCGGCTTAATTGCAACCCAACCAGCGCTGTCATCCAGTGTTACGGCCACGAAACATGACTTTCTCACTTCCACAACAACACAGCACTCACTCTTATCAGCTCGCCACCCCAACTCAAAAGGAGACAAATTCATGGAGACTTCCAGATCTCCATCAGACCTGAGGGGTGGCAGCCGAGGGGCTCGGGGTGTGGGGCGACCTCCCCAGACTCTCCTGGCGCTCACCTCCCGGCAGCAGCCGCGGCCCCCGGCAGCCCCGCCGCGCCGAGCTCGCTGCACCTACCTGAAGAACAAGAGATAAGAAAGACGGCAAACGCCAACTTTGCAGCAGCTCCCATTTTCCCGAGGCGCCGGGGAATCCGTAGGAAGTTCTCGCTAGATATCCAGTTCCCTGGGTCTTCCTCGGAGACAAACCTCCTGGTGTAAAATCAACCGTCATAAAACATATTCGGAAGCTCCGACCAAAAAAAAAAAAAAAAAAAAAAAAAAAAAAAACGTTCACGGGATTTTAGGGGGAAAAAAAAAAGGGAAGAAAAAAAAGCACAACAATAAAAAATAAAATGCACCACGGGGGAAAAACCGCCACACACACGCACCACACACAAAACCAAACAACGAAAAGCCAACAACAACAAAAGCGGGTTTAAATCACTGTCAAAATCACTGTCAGCTCCGCTCGCCTCTCGGGTCTCTCGGAACAAAACGCCAGGCTGAGGCGACGAAGAGGCGGCGGCGGCGGCGTCCGCTGCCGCC